GGACTGGATGTGAGAGTGCTCTGCTCTCGCTGACCAGGTGGGGATGGGTCACAGGTTGGACTGGGTGATCCTGGAGGGATTTTCCCCCCAGTGGCTCTGAGTCTCGTGCCACGGCCCCTGCAGGTGACGAACGTGGACGACGAGGGCACGGAGCTGGGCTCTGGGGTGATGGAGCTGACACAGACAGAGCTGATCCTGCACACACACAAGAGAGATGCTGTCCGGTGGCCCTACCTGAGCCTGCGCCGCTACGGCTACGACTCCAACCTCTTCTCCTTCGAGAGCGGCCGGCGCTGCCACACGGGGCAGGGTCAGTGCCCGGGGCTCGGAGGGTTCTGCCCACACTGCTGCAGCTGCAGGAGCCACAGGTTCTCTGTGTGTGTGGTGGTGCAGCACTAAGGGCACATCAGTGTGGCTCAGCCTTGGGCATGAGCCTGATGGTCTCGTTGGGTTGGTGTGTCGGTGGTCCTGAGGCTGTGGGGGAACATTTTGGGGTGTATGCAATGCCAGAGAGGATGTTACACTGCCAACACTGTCCTGGGTGTCCCAGGACACCCAGCTGGGCAGGAGGAGTTGCTGGACAATTCCTTAGGAGCTAGAAAGCACTTTTTGCAAGAGTGAAGCTTTGTTAAGCATCTTTTAACTCGGGGTAAAGCCAAAGGGCATCACCTGCACCTTTTTCCAGGTGCTGGTTAGTCTTGTTTATCCCTCAGAGCATGAGCAGTTATTGGAGCACATTCTGTTTCCCTCAGTGCATTCTCCCTGCCCTGGTCAGGGCTGGTTCTACTCACAGCTTTGCATTTTGGGCCTGGCACCGCTCTGTAACAGAGGGGAAGGAGCTTTTCGTCTCCCTGGTGTTGTGCACAGGGATGCTGTGCCTGGAGAAGGGAAGTGACTCACCCAGGAGTACATGCCAAGTCATCAGCAGCACTGGGAATAGTCTCCAGTTTTACAATGGTGCCTGTTAGTTCCTCTCCCAGTCTGTCTCTCTTGCTTTTAAAGAGCTGAACATTTTCTTGGCATCTGCATCCAAGGGGAGAAAAAAAAAAGTTGTTTCCTCCTTCTCTTAATGTGTTTGTAAACTCCTTCATCTCCAGAAGGACTCACATGAGTGTTCAGGTCTGTGCAAATCTGTAGTGGCATATGCTGCTTTTTGATATTAATTTCAGTGGGATTTTCCTCCCTGGAGCCACATGCTGGGAATCACAGTAGCCAAGGATGGGGATTTGTCCTTGGCTTTCTGCTTTGCCTTTTGCAGGGAGAGGATCAGTGATTACAATTTAATCCAGTGATTAAAGTTCTGTCCTGTGTGAGGTTTGGTTCTGCCCAGGTCCAGGTAGAGGTGATCGAAGCTCTTCGTACCACAAAACTTTTACCAGACACTTCCTCATCAGTTCTGGAGCAGG